TGGAAGTAAATTTGACGAAAATTGTGATTGGACATCTGAAAAGAAGAATTGTTCTTTTTAAGCGGAATTGAACTCCATCTACGTATTGAGAATACGCATAGAATTAGCTTTCTAACAATGTATAATATCTTGTGCAGTAAATAGTGTTGAAAGTAATAAAATTTGAAAATTCTGCACCTTTTTCTGCATCAACTTAATGTAATGAATATATTGTTCTTAGGAAAGAATATCAAGGCTTAAAGTAGCAGATCTGATTTCATTGCGTAATACTTAGTATGGACCGTGATCTTGCCTCAAAGTCTGTCTCACTGCGTACTTCAAACGCTAGTGTTCTATATTCGCTTTTCGAAGAAAGACAACATTATAGCTATCAAGAAGTGAAGATTGGATCGTCGGACAAACTTATCCATAACTTTTATCCCGAATTAATCATGTAGCATGTGCACAGTCTTCTCTTTAGTCTTAATCTGAAATGCTAGAATTTCTTTATTTTTATTGGAGACGGCATGGTTGTCAAACAACTATACATTATTTATTATAGATTTCTAATTTAGATATTCTTGTTCATTCAACATGCGAAGAAACTGTGGGATCATTTTGTAATCAGGATTGTCGCTCCCCCTTTTTAAAATTGAAAAAAGATTGGAAAATTTCAAAATTACATGCTAAAAACCTTGCGGCATTTTCAAATTAGAAGGTTTAATATAAGTAATTTTTTTCCTAGGACCTCCATAAGATTTCTTCGAGGCAAAATAACTTCTCTCGAACTCAACCTTTTCGTACCAATCAAGAACATTGCATATGCGCATTGGCCCTCAATTATGCGAGTAAAAGTATAAATTTAACGAAAGTTGACACTAGAAGGACAAGGAAAAAGGAAGTGTTGATCTAAGAAATTGCCATTTCTTGCATTTCCGACAACATAATGCTCTCGGAACTTGGCAGCCATTTAATTTCACAAGTCCATCAAGTGGTGTCATAGTTGAGATTTTCGTTAAGACAGCTGACAAATTTTTAGTAATATACACGAATTCCACAGAAAATTGGAGTTTTTCAGACACCGCTCTAGAACGCCTTAAAAATCTTCCATATCTTGCTAATTAACACGGATTATCGGAAACAACTTACAACACGTATATTCTGTATAACAATGTGTGACCCCCTTTTCAATTGAATTAATTCAATTGGTTAATTCAATTCGATTTTCAACTAGAAATTAAACACAAGACAAGAATTGCAATTTTTTGTTATCTAAAAATTAATTTTTAGAATGTAAATCACAAAGCTTGGAGCTAACGGAAG